CCGGCTCGCCCGGGGCCTTCGGCGCCTCTGGGACGGGGCGCGCGCTTGGCCGGCCGTTAGCACGAGCGCGTCACTTTGCGCAAAGAGCCGCGTTGGGCTCGCTGATCCCGTCACCTCCTCCCCGTTTCACGGAACGGTTGCGGTTAGAAGGGACCTCCGAGGTCACCTTGCCCGGCCCCTGCTCAAGGACCGGTTGCCCAGGACCACGTCCAGGTGGCTGTTGAACATCTCCAAGGAGGGAGACTCCGCCGCCTCCCCGGGCAACCTGTGCCGGTGCCAAAGCCGCCCTCAGGGTGAAGAAGTGTTTCCTGCTGTTCGGAGGGAGCCTCCCGTGTTCCAGCTGGTGCCCACTGCCTCTGGTCCTGTCACTGGGTGTCACTGGAAAGAGCCTGGCCCTCTCTTCTTTATACCCTCCCTTCAGGTATCTATACACATGGGTAAGACCCCCCTGAGCCTTCTCCTTCCCAGGCTGAACAGCTGCAGCCTTTCCTTGCAGGAGGGATGCTCCAGCCCCTTGATCATCTTTTGTGGCCCTTTTTGGACTCTCTCCAGTTTGTCCGTGTCTCCCTTGCACTGGGATGCTCAGAACTGGACACAATGCTGCAGGGGTGGCCTCACCAGTGCTGAGAGGGGTCACCTCTGTCTCCAGACTTGCTTCTCCTGCTCTGTGTTGAGCTGTGCATGGACGGACGCTTCTTGTCGTCCTTACGGTCTGGTCTGTCAGCGCTCTCCTTTGAGGAAAAGTGGCAGCACACTGTCTCCTTGCCTGGGCCTCTGATGGTGTGACTATCCACTCCAGAAAACTACAGGTGAGCAAGGAGCATTGCTTGGCTATAGCGTGCTGCAGCCCCACAAAAAGCGGCATGAGCTTGTTCTCCTGGGAGGCAATGTTCTTCCTTTAGTCTCATGTGGACACACAGCGGTGCCGGACCTGCTAACACGCGGTTAGGAGCGTGTGGCGGGAGCAGGCTGAGCTGCCGCATCACCTCTGAGTCAAACAAGGAGGCAGGGTATCTTCCCGCATGTCTCCCTGCTGCCTGCACGTGGAGGTGCATCGCACGCCCTGCGCTTGGCCCGCGGATACCTTGGGAAGGCAGTGCCAGCTTCCCTCCCTTGAAGAAAAATTACAGCCCAGGGAGCAATTCAAGAAGGAGAAGAGCTTCAGTGGAAAATGAATCATTCTGTTGTTTCTTTGTTACTAGCTGCGGCACAGCCAATTTCCATTTTATTAACTCAAATAAAAGTATAAACTCAGCCTTTTTATTAGTACTATTTATTGTGAACGTTGAAATGTCATGTAGTTTTGAACTGAGAGATGAACTGATTAGATAGGTAAGTCATATAATTAATTGGAAGACCCTTCCGTGACAATTATAGATATATCAAAGCCATTCAAGTGAGAAAAAGCAACCTTGAAAATGAAGTAGAGAGTTTAGTCATTGCTGAAACATACAAGAATATGTGTATTTAGATATTTTACACAAAGGAAATCTTGTTTACAGAAAAGAGACCTTGTTGATTATCTGATACAATCAAGTGCTTGTGAAATATAGTCTCTTACAGAAAGTATTCAATTTCTTCGTGATTTAGAGACCTTCTTTCAGCTTGGAGTGCTCTCTTTCATATTCACAACTTGAAGCAGATAGTCCATCATCTAATAAAAAGAGAAAAATATTATTTATAGACCAGTCCTGAAAAAAGTAATTCACTAAGTCAATAAGCCTAATATATATATCTGCTCTGTGTATTCACATAACAAACACATTCCTAATAATCTTTCCAAAACAGACCTCATTTGTCTTGGTTAGCGTAATAACCGACTGCCAAAGTACAAGGAAAGTCATTCTCCCAAATAACTCTGTCTGCCATCTCATTTATATAGTGCCTTATTAGTGTTAAAAAGCCAAATCTTAGAAACAATTTAAAGCTTATTTTCCAACTTACTTTTACACTTAGGCCAACTTGCAGGAGAGATTTCCCTTCTGATCTTTAACTGCTTTAAATGTAATTTATTCACAGAATAAAGAGCAGGCAAGATCGTCATTTGCCTGGTATTAACCGAAAACGGAAGAAAATAACTCAGGTGCACCACCCTAAGCCTAATTCCCAGAACTGTTATGCTCATCTCCTTGGCTTTTTTGACTGTTTCTGTGTTACAGCACTTTCCCAACTCTGGGTGAGTCTTTTAGAAAGAATTTTTTTATTCTTGAGAAATGTACAGCACAGCGCGAGCGTTAGCGGTAAACAATGCACTGAATGAACTGGAGCTAATAAGCAAGACCCTGAATTGAGTTACCTGAAGTACATATCTGTATTTACTTCTGCAGTCTTTCGCTTTGGGGATTTCTGATCTTAAATTTTAAATTCAAATTTTAAGTTAAATCAGCTAAATTTGAAAGGGTCCACGAAACAAAGTCCTCATAGCACATTTCTTCCCACCACAGCCTGTCTTGGCTTACGTTCAGTAGACGGGAACACAGGGTTGCACACACCGAGACAGACCCCTCGTGGTTAGCATCTCTGCAAGCGCATACTCGGTCTATGAGAATTATAGCCCCCGCGATGGTGACACGGTCTCGGGGCAGCTATTCCATCAGCTGGCAGTAGGGTTCACGGTTTACCTTCTTTTGGTCACGTTTCGATGCCTCAGTCTAACAGGCCATTTCACAGTGAACAGTAACCCGCTGTAAATACGCTGTCTGGTTCCTCCTAGAATTAGTTTCTATTTCAAACGCAAACACACTATGGCTGGAAAAGTATTTCGTGCCAAGTACAAACCTCTCATATGCTCTGCATCATCACCGGCAGTTTACTCTACCTGCCTATCTTGCACCGAGGCGGGCAGCTACACTCATCATTCCTGCGCCCTTGTTAGCTGTGGTACGGCAGCACCTGACACGAAGGTGTTGCCTAACCAACGTTTGTGCGACATGGAACCCCGCACACCCAGGAAAATCTACAGAATCAAAATCCAAAGGTCATTTTTGCTCTTGTATCGCTGTGTACGCGTACGACTGAATTTCCTATGTATACCAGAATTCCACCTTTACAAATAAACAGGGCCTCCTTTATTAAAAATAACGATTATCATTATTTAAAATGTTTAGGAAACTATCACAACCCTCAGAAAAGTAAAGCACATTACTTTCAATCTTCAGGTCTTCATCTGGAAAGCAGATCTCAAAAAGATCTATAGTTTAACTTTCAGGCGCTGGGTTTTTACTTTTTGAAGCCAAAGGAAAAACTATACACTGTATCTTATCTAGGCTGCATATAATCAGGTATTTGTGTCCAACAGTAGGAAAGCACAGGTTAAGTACTACTTTCATGATTATGTTTCTCTTCAAGATGGAGACAAAGGAACTGTTGAGTGCTGGAAATCAAAGGTTCTATGCAAAATGAGGTTCTGCATAGTCACATGAAACGCGATTTTTTACTAATCATTGGAGAAATCTGGATATTTAAGGCAATAATCTCATTAGTCCATGGATATGTTCAATGTCTGACCGCAAAAATGTGGATATTAATTTAGGGTAAAAGTACACACATATGGACATGATTCAACTTACTGGAGGCAACTTTCAGCTTTCATAAGTACGATTTATTACCAGAAACTTTTAGAAGTCAAAATATTTCCCTCTTTACATAGCATAATGGAATTGCTTCATCTAATTTGATTACAAAGCTGCACACTGCCGAGCTGAAGATGAGATAAATAGTTTTCTTTTTAAATAACATTAATCACAGTTATTATAAGCATCACTGTCATAAAGCCATAGCCAGAAAGAAACCTATGGACAGCATTCATATCAGTGGTGTAACAGACTGAAATCACGGCTTAATTTAATGGGTAAATTTTTACCCATATTCAAGTCAAAACCAAAGTATTCACGGACTTCACTGCACCAAGATTTCAGGAGGGAGACTGGGCTGAAGTCAGCCCAGGAATATTAACTACATCATATTACAGTAGCATATGGGAAGAAAAAAAAATCTTCCCGTTAATGTCTTTAAGGGGGTGTATTAATCTTTTTATTCTATTTCAATGTCACCCAGAAGAATTCTGCAGCTATATCACCATTACTGTACCTGACACATTATAAAGAAAGGAGTTTTCTAGTCAATTCTGCATTTAGACCCTGATTACTTTCTGTAAAACCTCACTGATACCCTTCCAGGTGTATTTTATAGGATTTTCCAAAAGAAAAGGGGTGAATCTCTTCCAAAGCCCTGTTACCTTGTGAAATAGTGCTAAGTACATTAACATGAGGGAAGAAGAGGTGGGTCCTGGGCACACATTATAGCTTATCAGTAGCCACAGATTCATTTTGCAAGACCACAAACGACCACAGTAGTGCCCAGCACCGTCAGCTGGGGGGGAAAGACTTGCACGAGCCGAAGACAGAGCTGGGAGCAGAAGAAACTCTCCAGCCTCGCTGCTCTATCCGCTGATCGGCCGTACCTCACGAGCCAGACAAGGTAACGACAGCGAGAATGGCAAGCGAGGGAGACAGTCAATATGACACGGCTTTATACACGATACCCTTCGCCGCCTTCCTGTCCTCTGTATTCACACCTGGTTTGCACACTAGCTCGTGTGTGCTGAGTTAATACAGAACTTGGTGCTGGTGTGGTCATCTGAGCATGACGCGCCAGAAAAGAAAAGAATGGAACGACCAAGCAACTTGAAGGGAATCCAGACGCTAAAGTTTGCTTAATGCTTGCTGAGTTTATGCCCAGTAGCAAATTAATGCATAAAAAATACAATCTGTGAGTGACAAGCTGTAATCAAGAGTAGAGTCTTACTTCACTGAACGACTAGTGCATGAGATGCATTTCTGCTACTTCTCTGGACAATCACAATTTAGAGGAAGCTGACGTTACTGTGAAATGAAATTTGAATACACGGAGTGTTTTTACAGGTTTTATCTTACTTACGTCTTTCCAGCTGCTATTGTCATCTGTCTCCCAGGTGTTCCTGGCAGACCAGGGAAGCCCTCCTTTCAAAAAGTGAGCACTTTTATTTTCATTCCCTTCCAGCAGCCGTAGCAAAGATTTTGAGATTTCTTCCCACTGCAGATAGTCTTCCAGCTGCTTGATATTTTCAGGTAATGCTGAAAACGGGGTCTTGTTTTCTTCTTCATAAACGTAAGGAAAATCTCCAGTGCTCTTTTTCCCCATTAGATGTCCTGTAATGACAACGACAGTAGCATGACATGAACCAAAACAGGTACGGATTGGATTGTTCAAACACCAGCTGGAAGTTGTTGTTGACTGGTCGTATGGAGGGGAGGGAAGGGGTTAGATGATGTCAAAGTTGAAGCACAACTGTTACAGTGTCACACACCATTAATTTTCTGTCTCATGTGCTACACTGCCAGAGAAAACCTTGCTGGGAACGGGGCAGAGAGAACCAAGCGTTTTACCTTGAGCTAGGGAGAGGCACCTGGTAAGATTTGCTGCAATAAGAAGCGGATGGAGAAGATGTAGGTTTTAGACTTTCTCTGCCTTGACGTGGGATGGGACTGTAGTGTAAGCCTATGTTCCGGGGCCTTCCTAGGAGCTAAGCTGGATGCACTTTTGATATACCATGCTTTAATGTCATCAAAATGAAATCGTAGTTGGCTTTGGGCTGCAAAGGAGGCCACTGGGAAGGGGAGAGGGAGAGACAGCACCGGAGGACGCTCCTCCAGGCCGAGCGCCCCAGGGCCTCGGCGGGGACCAGGGCTCCCCGAGGTGTGGCCGCACCCCAGGGCGCTGGGGAGCTCCTGGGTCCCGCCCAGCCGCCTTCGGGCTTGGGCCTGTGTTCCCGCACCCGTGAAGAAAGGCAGCGGTAGGAAACGCAATGGCCGAACAGGCATGTCGGAGGTAGCGGGGAAAGCTGCGTTACCCGCGCCCTCTGCCCGCACCGGTGCGCGGTGCTGGGGCGGGGGCCGTGCGGGGCGCAGGCTGCTTCCGCGGCAGCGCGGCTCCGCGCCCGACGCTCGGGGCCGGGAGAGCGCCGGCGGCGGGGGCTG